TGATGGGCTGTGCATGAGATTCAAATTCTCAGCTTCTTAACTTACACATACTCTGATTGGATGCCTTTTCCCAGATTAAAGGCAATCTGGGAAATCTGGGAATCTGTGACTCCAGTCATTTTGTCCCAAATTTCCCCTCCTTTCCTCCTATACTTACTGTAGTTCATATTACTTTAATATTTCTACCCGTGGACAGTCACAGTATTCCTAGAAGTCATTTGTACCTCTGGAGAGCTGGTAAAATCTTCACTTTGCACAGCAGTGACTGCAAGCAAGATTAATCATCCAATTTTTAAAATGCAATCTCTAAAATGTTTACAGCCATTCCAATCTTACTTCATATGAGAGAGAGAGAATGTGTGTGTGTGTGTGTGTGTGTTTATGTTTGGAGGAAGAAGAAGAAATTTGTAAGGGAATAGAAGATGGATTGAAAATAAATAATGGTCTTAAGGAATTATGGCTAATATAATTTTCTTTGGCAAATTTAATATAAATGGTATTAAAAGGAACCTGCATAAATGAGAAAGTCCAAAGTTGGATTTGCATGTACTTCACGGTACATCTGTCTCTGCTCCTACTTGTTCTCTCACATGCTTCTGATGAAAGTCAAGTCCAAGGCTCCCAGAGCTTGGAGCTNAGCACTTGTCTCATGCATCCAACCTATACACTAACAATGAGAAAACAGAAAGAGAAATTAAGGAAACGATACCATTCACCATTGCAACAGATATTTAATTCATAGTGAAACTCAGCAGAATCTTTGATACTAAAAGTATTTTTCTCACCTCGCAAAAAGTTTAGATGTTTGAAGAGCTGAAATGCAGGGCACTGGAAACAGTAGCATTGCATATCAGCCTTCCATTTCTCTACTTTTCTACTGTGGCACTATTTGCAACATCTCTCCCAGTGCAAAATTTAGCTAAATTTTCATGTTTCTGTCTTTAGTTACCCTTATAGAATTAAGAGTAAGATGTATTAGTCTTTGTTTTCTAGAGAAATAGAAGTGTTAAGATGGATGCAAATATGTAGAAAGGGATTTATTAGGCAATTTTGGAAGCTGAGCAGTCTTATGATCTGCTGACTACAAGCTGAAGACCCAGGAAACTCAGTATTAGAATTTCAGTTCAAACTTGAAGGCCTGAGAACCAGGGGAGCCAATGGTGTAAGTTCCAGTTCAAGTCCAAAGCCTGCAGAGCCAGGGCACCATGCCCAAGGGCTGGAGAAGATGAATGTGTGCAAGCAAGAGAGAGCTCCCTTCTTGTTCTATTCAGGCCCTCAATGAACGGGACAGTGCCTACTGATATTGGTGATAGGCAATCTTTACTCAGTCCATCAATTCAAATGCCAGTCTCTTCAGAAATATCCCCCACAGACATACCCAGAAATGTTTTACCAGCTATTTAGGGATTCCTTAGCTATCAAAGTTGCTACATTAAGATTAACCATTGCAAGATATGACACTTAAATTTGACAATTCTACTCTTCTGCTACAGAATGAAAACTAATTTGAATATTTCTTCACCCCCTCTAAATAAATCAAGAAAATAAAGTTTAATCAGAATCTTTCTTCCTACCACTTAGACCTATTTCTTCCTGAATAGTTTCCATAGAAATAGAATAAGAAGTTGTAATCATTTGCGATGCTTCCCTGTGTAAATTTTCTATCCTGGGTACCCCTATCTGTAGTCTTCTTTGGAGAAAAAAAAAATGCCAGGTCCTTTATCATTAACACTTTTTTATATTGCTGTGCTTATTCTCTTTGGTTCTAATTACTTCACTGAAGCTATGGGGCCCAGACAATACCAGAGTCATAAATGTGTGTTTGCCTGTTATGCGTAAAATATGTTTGTCTGTTATGCTTCAGTGTTTGCCTTTGTTCACAGAGATTAAAGTTTTGAGTTATTATTCTTTAAGATGTTAGGGTTCCAGTTTTCTAGTTAAAGTTTAAGGGGTTCTTTCCAATTTCTTAAACTCTATTTTACCATTTTTTAAATTCAGTTGCATCTACCTGTCTTAGATTTCTCAGACATAAGACATGGTTAAAGTACCAACCAAATAAACAGTCAATCCTGCCTGGGATTCTGTGTTTCTGGGCTCCTGTTCCAGTGACCAAGACTAAATAACACATAAACTTCAAGGACCTCATCTTATCCCCAACTTGTGGCTCAGACAGTGAAGAATCTGCCTGCAATGTGGTAGATCTGGGTTCAACCACAGCGTTGGGAAGATCCCCTGGAGAAGGGAATGGCTACCCAAGCCAGTATTCTTCCCTGGAGAATTCCAGGGACAGGGGAGCGTGAAGGGCTATAGTCTATGATGTTGCAAAGAGTAGGACAAGACCGAGTGACTAACACACACAAACAAGACCCTTCTCTTCTCTCCTCAGTGCCAACAAGCTCTTTTTTGTGCTTTGAAGCTGAGGTCCTTCTAAATGAAAGGTGCATCCAACCTAAATCTTACCAACCTAATGGGAGACAAGAGAGTGGTATTTGAGTGGGTAGAATGATGACCACATTTTGGAGCCACAGTGTTTCAGTTTTTAGGTTGTGTCCCAATGAGGGACTTTGCCTACTCAGAGGAAGTAGATTCTTTCTTTACACAAAGAGCTATGTCTAAACAAGATGTGTATTCCTCATTGTGTCTACCTCAAGGTGGTGCCTTTTTCTAATTCTTGAAATTTGCGTTAATGGAGACCCCATCCCTTTGATTAATTGAGGTGAAATTCACATAATATACAATGAACTGTTTTAAAGTGTACAATTGAGTGGTATTCAGTGCATTCATAATGTTGTGTAACCACCACACCTCTCTCCAGTTTCAAAACTTCTTCATCCCAAAGAAGAATATCTAATAATCCTTAGGTAAACATTCCTAAAGGTTGGTGCTGGGGAAGACTCTTCAGAGTCCCTTGGACTACAAGGATATCAAACCGATCAATCCTAAAGGAAATCAACCCTGAATATTCTTTGGAAGGACTGACGCTGAAGCTGAAGCTCCAGTACTTTGGCCACCTGATGCAAAGAGTTGACTCATTAGAAAAGACCCTGATGCTGGGAAAGTTTGAGGGCAAGAGGAGAAGGGGGCAACAGAGGATGAAAGTGGGATGGCATCACTGACTCAATGGACGTGAGTTTGAACAAACTCAGGGAGATAGTGAAGGACAGAGAAGCCTGGCGTGCTTCAATTTATGGGTCACAAAGAGTCAGACATGACTTAGTGACTGACCAACAACAACAACAACAACAACAAATCATCCCCATTCTCCTCTTCCTCCTGTGATTAACTCACCACTTTGATTTTATGACCAAAGATTTCATCCTTTAACACAGAAGTTCCATTAAGTGTCTTTTATTTCATCTTTGCTTCATTCTTGAATGCTCCTTGGAGGTTAAAATGAGGACAGTGAATACCAACTTCATGTTCATATAAACCCAGCCCTTCAATGGATTTTTATTTTCCAGTTCACAATACAGGAGGGAATTGTGTAGGTATTAAAAAATACATCAGTTGTAATTCCCTTTCCTCACTTTCCGAAGAGTATTTTGAGGAGTATTAGAATTAATTGCTAACAGGATGTTCAGAGTCAGTCAGTTCAGTAACTCAGTTGTGTCCGACTCTTCTTGACCCTATGGATGGCAGCACACCAGGTTTTCCTGTCCATCATCAACTCCTGGAGCTTGCCTAAACTCATGTCTATCAAGTTGGAGATTCCATCCAACCATCTCATCCTCTGTTGTCCCCTTCTTCTCCTGCCTTCAATCTTTTCCAGCATCAGGGTCTTTTCCAGTGAGTCAGTTCTTTGCATCAAGTGGCCAAAGTATTGGAGCTTTAGCTTCAATAGTTGGTAATAATTGACTCACGGATTCTCTGGGAACCACTGAGTGATGGTTTAGAGATTCCTCTATTATAGGACATCTCAGTCCTTTTAATTTTCTAAGGTGCTGTATATACCTTCCATATGTTGATAACACATGCAACACTATTTGACATTGAATATTTTTTCCCCTTTGGGCATCTGAAGGGATTAATTATTAATGTGTCACCTATTTAAGAAATGATCTAATATCCAATGCCTGTAAGGGACATTGCAAGAAATAAAATTCAGTTATATCATTCTCCAGGTTAGAAACAGGGTCCCAGGAAAGCAAAGGGACTTGTTCAAGAACTCATGGATTGTGGGTTACAAAGTGGGGACTGGAGTTCAGGATGCCTTACACCTTATGATGTGCTGTGCTGGGCTAGGTCGCTCAGTCGTGTCCAACTCTTTGCAACCCCGTGGACTGTAGCACACCAGGCTTCTCTGTTCATGGGGATTCTCCAGGCAAGAATACTGGAGTAGTTGCCATGCCCTCCTCCAGGGGATCTTCCCAACCCAGGGATCGAACCCAGGTCTCCCACATTGCAGGCAGATTCTTTATCATCTGACTATCCGGGAAGCTTAATAATACTGGAGTGGATAACCTGTCCCTTCTCCAGGGGGTCTTCCTGACCCAGGAATCAGACCCAGCGGTCTTCTGCATTGCAAGCAGATTCTTTAGCAGCTGAGCTACCAGGGAAGCCCACACCTTATGCTAATAACTGTCTTTCCAATTATGTACTCCTTTTGTATCCTTGATGATTTAAAAAATTGTCCACAGAATCATACGTGAATGAACTGAATATATTTGGTGACACCTCAAGAAGCCAAATGACATAAAATTGGTATTCTGGGACACCTATACCATTAAGTTGCATGCTTGAGGACTTCAGGTAATAGTGTCTAAATACTGATATATTCTTTTAATCATATATTTTGACTACAGATAGACAAGGAAAACCACCTTTTAAAGGCTACTGCCAAAAGCACAATAATAAAGAAAAACCGCAGCACTATGCTACATTTATTGACATTTTGAAAAATCCCAGTACCCCAATATCAATAACAGATACCAAAGAAAAGAAAGCTCCAACAATGACTTCATCACTGAAGAATGAAAAATTTTATTAAATCCAAAAGCCGATGAGTTGTTGAAACATTTCAGAAGATGTTTATAGTAAAGTATTACACATTTCTTTTCACACTGTAGGACTTCTGTTGATATACAGAGCTATGAAATATTTTTGGTTTTTTATTATAAATCAATTTCCACATTAGGGAAATTATGTAGCCCTTGTGACATGAGGTGGTAGGCTGGGTTATGGATACTGGTGCTTAGAAGTTTGTTGGGACTCTAATTGGCTAATTTTGAAGTGCCATGGTCTTAGGATTTCCATCAGAAGGTTTTTAACAGATGGGTTGGCAGCAGGTGGGCTCACAGATGGGCTCAGTGCAGGTGGGCTGGCAGCAGCAGGCTGGGCGGCAGCAGGACTGCCCACAGTAGGATGGGCGGCAGCAGGAGGCCTGGGCATAGTGCAGCTGGCAGCAGGATGGGGATGTGCAGCTCACCACACAGCAGGGAGGCAGGCTGGTGCCCTCCACGCGGCAGTCAGGGCGGCACCATCTGGTGCGGCTGCTCACAGCTCCACTGCTGCCCACCTGGCCATAGCCAATGCTGCCACCAATGCCATAGCCAATGCTGCCACCAATGCCATAGCCGGTCCCACAGCCACTGGTCTGGAGGCAGGTTGGCTGGCAGCAGCTGGTCTGGATGGAGGTTGGCTGGCAGCAGCTGGTCTGACTGCAGGTTGATTGGCAGCAGCTGGAGCCACAGGTCCCAGCAGTGGAACAGATGGGAAATCCACAGAAGCTAGTAGAACAGCAAGCCATGGTGTCAGGGGTTAGGCTGAGAGCTGGGATGCTTGGAGAAGTTTCTGAGTTAGGTCTGCTTGTTCCACTCAGGCCTTTTATAGACTTTGGCCACTTCCTGTTTTTGTGATGGACAGCATTTTTATCTTATTACTGTTTTAAACAATCTTTTCCAGAGTCCTCTGATTGTTGAAACAATGAGTTATTTTAAATATACCTCCAAATTGGATTTTCCTTATTGCTCAGCTACTGCTCACCAAATGTGTTTGTCTTTGGTAGAAATACTGATGTTTTGTTTTCAAGTAATGCTGTAATTTCTCTTCAAGTGTCAGCCTTTGTTTTGCGCTTATGATCACATCACTGTCACTCGTAAGACAATGTGACTATGGGATCATAGTCTCCAAACCTTCAGTCTCCAGAATAAAGTTATTAACCATTTATTGTCCTTCAATCTAAGCCTTCATACTTTTTTTAGGTAATTGAAATTACAGTTTCTACAAGCAGTCAGATAGAAACTGATAAACTCCACATTCATAGGAATTCATAGATCTTTCCAGGATCTCTCCAATTTCTATGATTTCTTTTGAACTTCACACATTCAGATTTGATGAAACACTTATCACTGAAGCAAGTATGAAATCTCCATCCTAATTTACTGTATTTTGTAATTAATATTAATAGCACAGATTTAAAAGAAGGACTAAAATTCATACCCAGTAATTAGGGAAAAATTCACAAAAATTTTATGTGTAATTGGCATTTCTCTCTGAAGGATAAGAATCACTTCTCTATGGATTATCAGAACAGTATTTATTTCTCAAAGGTGGGATTCATTTTCAATTTATGTCATTTTTTATTTAACTACAACTTGTTTCCTATGAAAGGATGATATTAGACCAAAGAGCATGACAATTGAATTTATGAAAGAGAACCAATAAAAGAAGAAGCAGAAGCTAGGAAACACTTTTTTTGGATCACAGTCTTTTTTTTTTCCATTTATTTTTATTAGTTGGAGGCTAATTACTTTACAATATTGTAGTGGTTTTTGTCATACATTGACATGAATCAGCCATGGATTTACATGTATTCCCCATCCCGATCCCCCCTCCCACCTCCCTCTCGACCCGATTCCTCTGGGTCTTCCCAGTGCACCAGGCCTGAGCACTTGTCTCATGCATCCAGCCTGGGCTGGTGATGGATCACAGTCTTATAATGCAGATTAGAGTTGAACACTACTTAACGACTGAACAACAACAAGGAAGGGAATGGATGATCAAGTGTCATTCAGTAGATACAAGTGAAAAGAGATTAAGAAAAATTTCAGCAAAACAAAGGTTAAAACAATTCTTGGTGGTTTCCAAATGTATGCGATTTTCCATTACAAGTTTGGAGTTATACAGGAGGAAATGAAAAAAGTGGTGGCCAAAAGCATACGTTATTGCTACTTGTGGTAGGTTTGTTCTTGCCTTCCAACCCTGAGTAGAAGCACATAGTTAGCTTTTATGACGTGGAGGTTTGGTTTGTACAGCGATAGAATTACAGTAAAGAGTGATTCATGGCAGTGTCAATAAAGATGTCCATGTCATGGTAACCATGACTGCAGGTATGAAGTTAAAGGACGGTTAGGGGAATCCCTGAATGTTAGAGATCAAAAACTTAATATATCATTTTGTCCAACCATTTAATTTTATAGGTTTGGAAACTGACATCATTCTTTTTATAAATAGCACATGTTTATTGAATACTATTATGCCTGAGGCACTGAAGGATTATGTAGAAGGGAAGACCCAATCTGCTGCCTCATATCTTACTCTAGCGCACAAATCGGCATAGTACCAATAAGCCAGAGTTGAACATAGGAACAGGATGTTCCTATGGAGATGCAAACCAGAGAACAGACTTGTGGACCCAGTGGGCAAAGGAGAGGTGTGGATAGATAGAGAGAGTAGCATTGAAATGTATATATTACCATATGTAAAATAGATAGCCAGTGGGAATATGCTGTATATCACAGAGAGCTCAAACTGGGTGCTCTGGGATTGCCTAGAGAGGAGGGATGGGGTGGGAAGTGAGAAGGAGGTTAAAGAGGGGAGGACATACATGTACCTGTGGCTGATTCACGTTGATGTATGGCAGAAACCAACATAATATTGTAAAGAAATTATCCTCCAATTAAAAATAAATAAATTTGAAGAAAGATTGATGTGTGAAACAGAAAAAAAGAAGGAAACATTCAGCCTCAAAGTTCTAAATTGGAATATTGACATTGTGGTGTGAAGCATTTCTAATTTCCTCTCAGCATCAGTTGATATTAGAATGCTATGGAATTTAGGAATGACTGCACTTTGGAGATGCTAGTAACTTGCTCCATTCACACAGCCAGTACACAGCCAGAAGAGCTGGGTATGAAACTTCTATTCCTCATTCCTAGATCAGTTCATTTTATTTTACACTGTGTTGCTTTCCAGGATCAATTAAAGTTAGTAAAACTCACTGTCTTCTCTGTTTTCTTCTAACATTTCTGTGTGGTTTTAAACACACAGCAAGTAAGTATAAATATTTAAAAATTGTTTAAAGTGTCTTCTGACCAGAAGAGTTTCCCGTAGATCTGCAATTTCTAATTATTTTATTCTTAGTCATTTCTTGTTTCCTACATTCAGATTGGTTAATTCTCCACCTGGGTTTCTATGTCTGCCATATTCTTTGTGTCTTTTTTATTCCATGGCAATATCCCAGTTAACACTTACTGTGTATCACTTAGACCATGGCAATGGTCTCTTGATTGCTTCTGTATAGTCATTATTATGTCTAGACTTTGGCCCTTTGTTTTTATAAACATCTACCACAGAAATCATCCTTATGCCCAACTCCTGTCATGCCATTCCCCTGCCCTAAGGCTTTCAACAGTTCTTTGTGTTTGTTGAATAAATGGCATATTCCTTTGGCTAGTTCTAAAAGCACACCAGCTTTCCAAAATGATCTTCCATTATTACTCTATCTATAACCCATTCTAATCATCTCTGAAAAACTTCTTTATACCTTTGTCAATACTGTTTCCATTATTGAAAATGCCATCTTCCCTGAGATCTGGACTCCCAAATCTTAACTCATATGAAATATTAGCTTCTTTTTCAATCTTCCTTGTTTTCCCCAATTGATAGTAACTTCTCTCTTGACAGTGTGTTGTACATTTTCATATTCTAATTGTTGATTAATTACTGTGAGTTTGTTTCATCTCCTGGAAATTTCTTGAACAGGGTGACATTAACCCAACTTTAATACAGTCTATGGTTTGCAGACGGTAGGCAATCAGTCTATTTTTGTTAGGCTTACATTTAATACAAAAAAATAGAATGAATAAGTAAGACCAAAGTTGTGTTTGCTAGGCCAAAAAAGAGAAGTTTATTAGAAAACAAACATGCTGCAAGACTTAAGACCTAAGAAGGGAAGAAGGAAGTTGTTACTATTAACTTGAGAACAGCCCAAGCCTCAATAGATGAGCCTGGATCTCCAGCTCCTAGCTGATGTGAGGCATTAAGGGCTCAGGGCGGGAGGTTTGTTAGGTAGAGAAAGGGGGTAGAACTTTTTCAGACGGTCGGTTGCTTGCTCGGCGCAGGCAGTGCACCGCTCAGCAGCAGGGGGAGGTCCTGCAGGTGCGGCAGGTGGTGCGGCAGGGGGCGGGCCGGCAGCAGGTGGGCCGGCAGCACGGGGACTGCACAGAGATGGGCTGGCAGCTCGTGGTGGCCCAGCAGCAGGGGCGGCACACCACGGCCTGGCAGGACGAGGGGCAGCAGGTGATGGGCCGGCAGCAGCCCTCCTGCAGGCTGCAGGGGTCGCAGCAGACTGGGCGGCGGCAGGGCTCGCAGATGGGGCGCGTGCAGCGGGGCACGCAGGTCACGGGCCGGCTCACGGTGGTCTGGCAGGACACGGGGCGGCAGCAGCAGGGGTCGCGGTAGAAACAGGGCTGGAGGCAGCCTCCGCCACAGCTCAGGGAGGAGACGATGGGGCCGCAGCAGGAGCCGGTCATGGTGGTGTGTGGGCTGAGTGGGGTTGAGCTGGTGAGAGGAGTTGAGTGTTTTCAGGTGTGAGTGTCTTCCTCCTGCTCTGGGCCCTTTATATACCCAGGCCAGGAGATGATGAGGACTCTTGTTTATTGTTTGCTCAATTAAATAGAAATTTGTTTTGACTAATGGTTGCATTTTTGGTGACATACTCATAATCTCATTAAAGAACATCTGTTGCATTCCTAAATATGGATGTATTCATGCTGTTCATCATCAAAATCTAAATACTCTGGAACGTTGGAGGTGAAGCAGCTCTTGATGCTTATTTTGAGTAGATGGCTTCTGACAAATCCTGGGCAAATGGTCCTGAAGGGGCTACAATTTTTAAAGACATTAGAGGCATAAGAGTTTCTAGAGCACTGACTAGATCCTACCCTTGACCCCCAAGAGCTTCCCTGAAAAAGCCTGCATGTGAATTAGACAGGTGTTAGACAGAGTCTTCGGTGTGGATTCCTTGGGAAAACGTTTGTGTTTCACTTGATATAGAGTTGGACTGCAGAGCACAGGAGAACTGATGCTTTTGAACTGTGGTGTTGGATGGCATTACCGAGTCAACAGACATGAGTTTGAGCAAGCTCCAGGAGATGGTGAAGTACAGGGAAACCTGGCATGCTGCAGTCCATGGGGTCACAGAGAATTGGACACAACTGAGCGACAGAACAGCATAGTGAAATGTACATGCCTTGAATATATTTGTATTGAAAAGGTGAAAGTTATTTTCATACGCTGAGTATTAGAATAAAACACCCAAGACTGACATCTATTTTTTTCTTTTCCAGTTCACTTAGTGGCAACTCTGATTTTTCTGGTTTTTCTTAATATTGGTTTTCCCTGAGGCATGATATTTTTTATATTTGTCTTTCTTCTGTATGTGATATGGAATTGTGTAATAAATTTTTTCTTACTATACCTTGACATGGTTGCTACAACTATGAAGTAATAAGGCAGAGGTTTTTTTCCTACATAATAGATGTAGAAAACAAACTTGTTTGCCAGGGGGAAGTGAAGGAGGAATAAATTAGAAGATTGGGATTGACATAAACACACCTATATAAAACATAGATAACTCTATATAAAATAGATAACTCTATAAAATAGATAACTCTATATAAAATAGATAACTAATAAGGATCTACTGTAGAGCACAGGGAACCCTTCTCAATACTTTGTAATGACCTATATGAAAAAAGAATCTGAAAAAGAGTGGATAGTGCTTGCTTTGGTAGTACATATTCTAAAAAGCAAAGACTTCACTTTGTCGACCAAGGTCCATATAGTCAAAGCAATGATCTTTCCAGTAGTCGTGTACAAATGTGAGAGCTGGACAATAAAGGAGGGGGGATTGGGATGGGGAATACATGTAAATCCATGGCTGATTCATGTCAATGAATGACAAAAACCACTACAGTATTGTAGAGTAGTTGGCCTCCAACTGGTGGAGATAAATGAAAAAAAATAATAAAATAAAAACAAACCAAAAAAATAAATAAATAAATAAAGAAGGCAGAGCTCCAAAGAATTGAGGCTTTCAAACTTTGGTGCTGGAGAAGACTCTTGAGAGTCCCTTAGAAAGCAAAGAGATCAAACCAGTCAGTCTTTTTTTTTTTTCCATTTATTTTTATTAGTTGGAGGCTAATTACTTTACATCATTACAGTAGTTTTTGTCATACATTGAAATGAATTAGCCATGGATTTACATGTATTCCCCATCCCAGTCCCCCCTCCCACCTNATGGTATAAACACTCACCTAGAGCCAGACATCCTGGAATGTGAAGTCAAGTGGACCTTAGGAAGCATCACTACAAACAAAGCTAGTGGAGGTGATGGAATTTTAGCTGAGCTATTTCAAGTCCCAAAAGTGCTGCACTCACTATGTCAGCAAATTTGGAAAGTTCAGCAGTAGTCACAAGACTGGAAAAGTTCAGTTTTCATTTCAATCCCAAAGAAGGGCAATGCCAAAGAACATTCAAATTACAGCAGAATTGCACTCATCTCACATGCTAGCAAAGTAATGCTGAAAATCCTCCAAGCTATGCTTCAATAGTAGATGAATCGAGACCTTCCAGATGTTCAAGCTGGATTTAGAAAAAGCTTAGGAACTGGAGATCAAATTGCTGACATCCGTTGGATCATAGAAAAAATAAGAGAATTCCAGAAAAACATCTACTTCTGCTTCATTGACTGTCTAGGTTTGACTTTGACTGTGTGGATCACAACAAACTGTGGAAAATTCTTAAAGAGATGGGAATACCAGACCTCCTACCTGACTCCTGAGAAATATTTATGCAGGTCAAAAACCTAGAGGGCTGGGATGGGTAGGGAGGTGGGAGGGAGTTTCAAAAGGGAGGGGATATATGTATCCCTATGGCTGATTCATGTTGAGGTTTGACAGAAAAAAGCAAAATTCTATAAAGCAATTATCCATCAAAAAAAAAAAAAAAAGAAGAAAGAAAGAAAGAAACAGAACCAGGCATGGAACAATGTACTGGTTCAAAATTGGAAAAGATGTACGTAGACACAATATATTGTCACCCTGCCTATTTAACTTATATGCAGAGTACATCATGTGAAATGTTGGACTGGATGAAGCACAAGCTGGAATCAAGATTGCTGGGAGAAATATCAATAACCTCAGATATGCAGATGACACCGCCCTTATGGCAGAAAGCGAAGAGGAATTAAAGAATCTCTTGTTGAAAGTAAAAGAGGAGAGTGAAAAACCTGGCTTAAAACTCAACATTCAATAAACGAAGATCACGGTATCTGGTCCCATCAATTCATGGCAAATAGATGGGAAACAATGGAAACAGTGAGAAACTTCATTTTCTTGGGCTCTAACATCCCTGCAGATGGTGACTGCAGCCGTGAAATTAAAAGACACTTGCTCCTTGGAAGAAAAGCTATGATCAACCTAGAGAGCAGAGACATTACTTTGCCAACAAAGGTCCCTCTAGTCAAAGCCATGGTTTTTCCAGTAGTCATGTATGGATGTGGGAGTTGGATCATAAAGAAAGCTGAGTGCTGAAGAATTGATGCTTTTGAACTGCAGTGTTGGGGAAGGCTCTTGAGAGTTCCTTGGACAGCAGGGAGATCAAACCACTCAATCATAAAGGAAATTGATCCTGAATATTCATTGGAAGGACTGTTGCTGAAGCTGAAGCTCCAATAGTTTGGCTACCTGATGCGAAGAACCAACTCTTCGTAAAAGACCCTGATGCTGTGCAAGATTGAAGGCAGGAGGAGATGGGGGTAACAGAGGGTGAGATGGTTGGATGGAATCACCAACTTGATGGACATGAGTTTGAGTAAGCTCTGGGCATTGGTGATGGACAGGGAAGCCTGGTGTGCTGCAGTCCATGGGCTCAAAAAGAGTTGGACATGACTGAGTGACGGAACTTAACTGACATATAGCTGTGTAATTTTAAGGTGCGTGTTGTGATGATTTGATATATGTCTCTATATTGCAAAATGTTTACCACAGTAAGGCTAGTTAACACATTCTTTCCCTTACCTAATTGTCATTTTGTGTTGTTGTTATGATGAGGGTATCAAAGCTCTACTCTCAGAGTACCTTTCAAGTATACAGTGTACAGTTGACTCTTGAACAACACAGGTTTGGACTGCATAGGTCTACGTATATGGAAATCTTTTTCATTCATAAATGCTACAGTGCCACATGACCTGTGGTTGGTTTCATCATGGATATGGAAGAACTGCAAGTACAGAGGAACCATAGATATGAAGTCTCGGATATGGAGGGCAGAATATAAGTTGTACTTGGATTTTGACTGTGTGGAGTGTCAGTGCCCCTAACCCCAGAGTAGTTCAATGGTCAGTCATAGTATTGTTAACTATCGTCACCATGCTGTACATTAGATCCTTGAAATTTATTCATCTCATAACTGAAAGTTTGTGCCTTCTGACCCAAATCTCCTCATTTCTCCTACCCCTCAGCCCTTGGTAACTACTTTTCTACTCTATGTTTCTTTGAGCTTAATGATTTTAATTCCATGTATAAGTGAAATCATTACAATATATGCTTTTCTCATGTCTAACTTATTTCATTCAGCATTATGCCTTCGAGTTTCACCCCTGTTATTACAAAAGACAGGATTTCCTTCTTTTTGTGGCTATATATAAAATTTAGCCTGATTAACAACTAACTTTATTTAGTTATTCATCTGTTGGACATTTAGGTTGTCTCAGTGTCTTAGCTATTGTAAATTACTGTCGTGAACATAAGGATGCGGAAATCTCTTTGAGATAGTGATTCCATTTTCTTTGGATGTATACCAAGAAGTGGAATTGCTGGATCATAGAGTAGTTCTATTTTCAGTTTTTTGAAGAACCTCCATACTGTTTTCCATAGTAGCTGTAGCAATCTCCCCCCCGCCGCACCACCCCCAACAAATAACAGTGTACCAAGGTTCTCTTTTCTCCACATCATCACACTAGCATTTATTATCTTTTGTCTTTTTGATAATATCCATTCTAACAGGTGTGAGGTGATATCACATTGTGGTTTTGATTTGCATTTCTCTGGTGATTAGCAGTGTTGAACATCTTTTCAATATGTACTTGTTGACCATCTATATGCCTTCTTTGAAAAAATGTTTACAAACCCTCTGCTTATTTTTTAAGTGAATTGGTTTTCTTTTGTCTTTTGTTTGTTTTGGTTTGTTGCTTTTTAGTTGTAGGGGCTCCTTGTGTTTTGTAGATATTAACTGCTTATCAGATACACAGTTTGCAAATAGTTTCTCCCATTTGGTAGGTTGCTTTTTCATTTGTAGATTGTTTCTTTTGCTCCATAGAAACTTTTTAGTTTGATGTAGTCCCATCTGCTAATTTTTGCTTTTATTGCTTGTGCTTTATTATTCTCAAGGCACATTGTCTAATAATCAATTTTCCTGTTCCTGGGGGTGAGGTGTCTTCATAATGATCACATTTTGGGCAAGGAGAAACTTTTCAGAGGACAATCTCAGGTAAGAAGGACTCATTTCTCTACTGTAAACACTTCTGATCCAAAGCTGTTCTAAGATGACTTTTTTCTTCCTTTTACAAAGATATACAAAGAATGAGAGGCCATGAGCCCTTCAGTAAGTAATTCCAGTGTTTTCAGTTGAGGATACTCATCCTACCCCACACCCAAGTTTCATTTCCTGGCAGAGAAAATATGGGTCATGTGTGAATAATTCATGCCACTGGGCTCTGTGATTTGACACTGGTGGCAAGTTATGTGCTATTTTCTGATGCCACTTATTCTAAAACCAGACAACACTCATGAAAAACTTTGCAACTTACTGACTATGTGTCTTTGGGCCATATGGGATAATAATAGATGTGTAATCAAGGTTGTTGTGAAGGTTAAATGAACTAATAATTTTGTCAAGCACTAAGAACAGTGCCTGGCACTTAGTGTCTTGTGTTTGTTGAGTTAATAAATATATTTTAATAGGTATTGTTTCAGTGGTGCTTTATAAGCTCTAAATTTTAAATTTAGAACAAAGATGAATGGTGTTTGATATGGTAAGTAGCCAGTTCTCTGCTCCATCACCAGAAAATACATATTAAATAGGATTATTCAGTGGGGGATTTCATTAATCATGTAAAATAAAAATATCTTGAAGGATGATATTAGAATTCCCTCTATTTGAGCACAAATCTCTGTAAGGGGGAGTCAGGCTACTGTAGAACTAACGTGTTCTGAACATGTGTCAGAATTGTGGATAGTGACACCAACCCTATTGGGAGTCCCACAGCCCATGCAACAGAGAGAAGTCTTAAAAACAACCATAAAAGAAAAGGCTTAAAATTTAGACAGGTTCTTAGTGATGATGGATAATATATTTTGCATAATGAATGCTAGGGCTTTATTTAACAGTACCATCCAACAACCACATTATGAGCAAATTTTAACATCAAAATACTGTCTTGTGTTCTCAATTCTCAGTTACTATAAAAAAGGAGAAAAGCAATTGCACATGTAATCGGAAACAGCTAGCAATTTTTAATAATAAAAATTGTTAAAAACAATAAAATTGGTACATATTGAAAGTGCACCTTGCTTTAGGCCATTGAGATGATCCTAAAAAGTTAAAATATGATTTTGATGTTTAATAATTTGATCACATTTTAAAGACCTCAGAGAAGTCCATTATTTACAACATAATGGCATACTCTTCCATATATAATAAAAGACTTCTTTAGGAGTACAAACAGATGCTCTCTAACTTATCTGCTTTAAATTCATTTAGACTTTAGATAAATATGTTTTTTAAAAGCATAACATAATCATAAGAAAGTTTTAAATAATTTCCCCCAGAATAGATATGTTTTAATAGTCCATTTCATTAAAAATTAAATGTGTGTTCATTTTTAAAAATAATTAAGAAACATATGAAGAAGAAAATATTATTCCCAGTGACTGTTAGATTTTTGTTGCATAATGTTCCAGGTATATTTTTAGGTATAAAAACACACAGACATACAGAACATACTTTTTCTCCACAAGATAGTTTAATATTTTACAGCTTACTTATTTTTTACTTAAAAGTGATGGGACAATTGTATGGGGTTTCCTAATAGGTTTACAGTCTTCAACTATTTTCAACTATTTTTGGTAATGCTGATATTATGTATTATTTGACTTTTTTCTTATTTATATCTCATCTCCCTAAGTAGATTATAACCTCTTTGAAGCAGGAACTCTGTTTTATCCCTTTATCTTCCCTCAGGGCAAATCAACTCAGTGCCCTATTCATAGTAGATATTCAATAAATATATGTGGATAGGCAGTGATTTATTTGCCTGGAAGATGCCATAAATGGCCAATTCCTGAACATTAAGACAAGCAGCTCTCAAGAGCCAGTGTGGATTTAATATCCACACTAGTTGACATTGTGAATAACAGTCTAAATAACAATCAGATCTGTAATATATAGAAGGGAGTATATTACATGAAGAAGCAGTCATACTTGGTCACAAAATACAAAACAGTTCCCCTGGGCAGAGGAACGTGTCTGTGATCATACTAAGGTGAAATGTTTGGCTTAAAGGCCTAATATCAGGGGCCGTGCATTCTCTTGGGTCTTTTCTGAACATCAGTGATTATAAATACATTAAGAAACATAGGGAGCTTCCCTGGTGGTCCAGAGGTTCAGAATCTGCCTTGAAATGCAGGGAACATAGGCTCAATCTCTGGGCAGGGAACTAGATCCACGTACAGCGGAGCATATAAGCCTGTGTGCCCCAATTACTGAGCCCACAGGCTACAGTTAGAGAGTCTGTGGGCCACAAAGAAAGATCCTGCATGTGGCAACTAAGACCCATGCAGCCAAATAAATAAATATTAAAAAAGAAAGAAACTTATTTGATCTTTCATTACTCATTGCTCTTTAACTTCAGAAATAGACGATTGGCCAGATGCCCCTGTCTATGCTGAGCTAACAGGTGTCATTTCCGTGAATGAATACTCAGACTGGGAAGGTAAGTGGTAACCCAATGCAGACTCCTTACTGGTCACTGCTGAAGACATTTCTCAGGTGTTGGGTACCTGTCCGAACTGTGGGCATTCGTGACTTGGAGACATAGCTGTTTCTGCCTTCCATAGTCAGCTATTGTGTCCTGTAAATACCATTGACAACGACCATGAGGAAACTACCCAGATTTTGTTTATTTTAGAGAACAACTTAAGAGGATTATTTCCTATCTTGCTTTGGTTATCTCTGGAAAATAGAGACAGAATCTAATGAAAGGAAATATCACAGAGACCATGATTTCTATGCCGAAAGTGTGAAGTTTATTAGAAAGCCAACAACACAATATAGGAGTGAGCAGGGGTCGTGGGAGGACAGGGTATTTTTCATCAGTAATTAGTTTGAAAAGGGTGCCGCCTAGTTTGAAGAGAGGAGGGATGGGCTTCTCAAGAAAACAGGCGGTTCTGCTGTGAAGCTGTGGGGCAGCAGGATAGACCCCGCCATCTACTTAGGGATGATGCGCGCCCAGGAAGCACCGCTCAGCAGCAGGGGGAGGTCCTGCAGGTGCGGCAGGTGGTGCGGCAGGGGGCGGGCCGGCAGCAGGTGGGCCGGCAGCACGGGGACTGCACAGAGATGGGCTGGCAGCTCGTGGTGGCCCAGCAGCAGGGGCGGCACACCACGGCCTGGCAGGACGAGGGGCAGCAGGTGATGGGCCGGCAGCAGCCCTCCTGCAGGCTGCAGGGGTCGCAGCAGACTGGGCGGCGGCAGGGCTCGCAGATGGGGCGCGTGCAGCGGGGCACGCAGGTCACGGGCCGGCTCACGGTGGTCTGGCAGGACACGGGGCGGCAGCAGCAGGGGTCGCGGTAGAAGCAGGGCTGGAGGCAGCCTCCGCCACAGCTCAGGGAGGAGACGATGGGGCCGCAGCAGGAGCCGGTCATGGTGGTGTGTGGGGCTGAGTGGGGTTGAGCTGGTGAGAGGAGTTGAGTGTTTTCAGGTGTGAGTGTCTTCCTCCTGCTCTGGGCCCTTTATATACCCAGGCCAGGAGCTGATGATCCCCACGACACATCGTCATTTCCTTGTATTTGTTTATTCCTTTTGAAATGGCCCTGGCAAGTTTAGTTAAGTTCCCTAGACATGTTTTTCAGATGCTCAAGTACTCATAAAAGACTGTTTTCCTTACTTAATGAAGACTCATTATATTTTTCTATTTATGGTTCAAATATGAATTTAATGGCCCTGACTTCAAAGTGTCCAATTATCTTCATAATTCAGTGATGCTTTTGCCAGTTGATGTTTTGATAACATAAGACTGGTTGTCATGCTCTTACTAATAGTGGAAGTGAATTCCCCAACTTATGAGTGTCCTTTAATACTGTTAAGCTTCCTGGGCAAAGCAAGTTCAGAAAAATACTATAGAGATATTTAAAAGTCACAGTTTGTCAGTAAAAGAAGAAATTTTCTGTCTACTTTTTGGAGCTACAGGAATGCATCTTAGTAAAACTCTATCATCAGTAGTTTTTCCCCCAATTTTTTTTAGTGCTAAAATACACATAACATACAATTTAATGTTTTAATCATTTTTGTGTGTACAGTTCAGTGGCATTAAGTACATCCACATTTGTTGTGTCACCATCAGCACTATTCATCCCCAGAACTCTTTCATCTTGCAAAACTGAAATCCTGTACCCATTAAATAATGACTCCCCATGACCGTCTCTCCCCAGCTCCCGGAAATCTTCAATGTAACTTTTAAAAAATCTCACCCCCCATCCCACAAATATTATTTCCAACACAAATACTGGTCCTAGCTAAAGGACATTAGTCAAGTCAATTATCTGGTATCTGATGTGTAAAATGTGGAATATAAACCCAGCTTCTGGAAAGCACCATTCTACTGTTACTATGTTACTTTTTTTGGTCTTAGGTACATGTTTATTAATTTCCACTAGTTATATCTTTCCAAATCATGGTAAATTTTATGTAATTTTCATGATAGCCAGAATCCTTGAGTTTTAACCACATTCTAAGCATTACGCTAAAAGAAAGAAATGGATTAATTTATTCTTCAAAAAATCTTATGATACTAGAGAACAAACTTGCGGTTTTCAAAGGGGATAGCAGGTGCTCTGCTGTACTGTGCTAAATTGCTTCAGTTGTGTCTGACTTTTTGCGACCCTATGGACTGGAGCCCGCCAGGCTCTTCTGTCCATGGGAGATCCCAGGCAAGAATACTGGAGTAGGTTACCATGCCCTCCTTGGAGATCTTCCAGGCCCAGGGATTGAACCTGCCTCTCTTATGTCCCCTGCACTGGCAGGCGGGTTCTTTACCACTAGCGCCATCTGGGGAAGCCTGGATAGCAGGCAGAGGAGGACAAATTAGGAGTTTGGGATTGACATATAGACACAATACTCTATATAAAATAGGTAAACAGCAAGGACCCACTATATAGCACAGGGAATTATGCTTAATATCTTGTACTAACTTATAAAGGAAAATAATCTGAAAAAGAATATATATATATACATATATATATATGTATAATTGGACTGCTTTGCTGTACACTTGAAAATGACACAACATTGTGAATTAACTGTACTTCAATTAAAAGAAATCCTGTGAGGTAGTTATTGTTATATCTCTTATTTTACACATAAAGCCAGATAAGTGACTTGCTTAAGGTCATCTTCTAGTGTTGGAGCCAGTAGTTATTCCAATAGTTATTAGTTATTCCAATCTATGGCAACACTGTAAGCCTAAGGAGTTGAAGGATGAAATTGTGGAAACCTCATTCCCTGTCAATAAAGAATGTCTGCTTTATTTAGGAATTTCCATGACAAATTATTTTAAAAATTGTTGTCGTGTGTGAAATGGCTAATTTTGAGAGTCATCTGGAAGAACTCTATGTCTTAATTCGTATCCTCAGGAATGTGAGGAATTATCTCCCACAGAGCCTTCTTAGAATTCCAAAACACACTCGGAGGAAAAAGTATTAAAGTTGGACATAGTTGAGTTCTCCTAAGGCACTGCAAGCAGAACCACCATCTAGATGAAGGCTGCAGCCTGCCAGCACGATGAACCCCCTGGGTGTAATAGGTCCAACCGCCCGAGGTGGTCTCACCCGCCCTGCCTTTACCCCACTGTCTCTTGCTTCAGTGTCCCCCACGTACTAGGCTTCCTTCTGCTTACAGGCCCCTTGTGATTTTCAATTATTTCAAATTGTCAGGGTCTGCAGGAAAATCATGTCACTCAGCAGTTTTTTTTTTTTTCCCTCTGCTTCTGGATTTGCTTGGTTCTGACCTGGCTTTACATTCAAGTCTGTTCTAGATCTGTGGCCGAAGGCTGCAATGTAAGCCTTCTTTTCAAGTATTCTGCCCACACAATCCCTTGCAGGCTTATCCAGACCTGCACCAGCCACTGTGGCCGACCCGGGTATGGTGTATGGTGCAACAAACATGATCCAATAGTAATGATGAGCTTGGGATCAAACAGAGCATTCTACATCTGAGAAAACACTACAAGATGAGCAAATCTCTAGAAGGTTGAGGAGGAAAATTCTGAGAAAAGGAAAACAAAGTGTAGTGAGAGAATTGAAGAAAATTATTTTAAAAATTATTAATAAAAAACAAAGATCAAGAATATAAAGATAGAAATTGGACTTTTGAACTGTAAACCAGTAAACTGTCAAATACTTTGACCACCTGATGTGAACAGCTGACTCACTGGAAAAGACCCTGATGCCAGGGAAAGATTGGAGGCAAAAGGAGAAGAGGGAGAAGAGGGTGGCAGATGATGAGAGAGTTAAGTAGCATCACCGACTCAATGGACATGAATTTGAGCAAACTCTGGGAGCTAGTGAAGGACAGGGAAGTCTAGTGTGCTGTAGTCCATGGGGTCACAAAGAGTCAGTCTCGACTTGGCGACTGAACAACAAAAGTGTCAAACTTAATTAAGAGGAAATTCCATTGTACATACCGATAATGTAAAGGTTTTAAAAATAATGAGCTACTTCTTGAGAAAACTTTATTCTAGGAAGGAAGTTTATTAAGGAAGTTGTGGTACATATACACTATGGAGTATTACTCAGCCATTAAAAAGAATACATTTGAATCAGTTCTAATGAGATGGATGAAACTGAAGCCCATTATACAGAGTGAAGTAAGCCAGAAAGATAAAGACCAATACAGTATGCTAACACATACATATGGAATTTTAAAAGATGGTAACAATAACCCTATATGCAAAATGGAAAAAGAGACACAGATGTACAAAACAGACTTTTAGACTCTGTGGGAGAAGGCAAGGGTGGGATGTTCTGAGAGAACAGCATTGAAACAAGTATACTATCAAGGTGAAACAGATCACCAGCCCAGGTTGGATGCATGAGACAAGTGCTCAGGGCTGGTGCACTGGGAAGACCCAGAGGGATGGGATGGAGAGGGAGGTGGGAGGGGGGATCGGGATGGGAAACACATGTAAATCCATGGCTGATTCATGTCAATGTATGGCAAAAACCACTACAATATTGTAAAGTAAAAAATAAATAAATAAACAGGAAAAAAATAAATAAAATAATCATTGAAAAAAAAGTCAGGCACAGAGATTAAAAAAAAAAAAAGAAAAGAAAACTACTTCTCTTCAAGAGGTGGCTTATTGTTTTACTGTAAGAATGCACATGTCCAGCCTGAGAAGAGAACTGGGGTGTAATGAAATCTTTCTGTCTCCCAGCTCCTTAGAATTTATTCATTCAATTATGTAGTAAATAATTTTTGATCATATACTATGTATCAAGTATTGTGCTGGTCAATGGGAATCCAGCAGTGAACAAAGTCAGTCAAGATCTTGGTCTTCACAAAGATTTCCTTGCCTGATTCCTGTAGCTGGGCAGGTAGATGAGACCAGTTGTATAAGTAGCACATTCCCAAAACTCTTTAAGATCAGATGTCAAGAAGTCAATACATTATTTCCCAACAATAGTGGCTAGTTTCCTGACCAGCCTACAAGTATTTAAAAGCCACAAAAACATATCCAGTGTGGATTAATGTTATTATTTCAAATACATTGGCATGGTTTTGATAGTAAAATTGTTTAGAGTTCTAAATTAGAAATGGTTCTAGCCAAGCTACATTTCTCGTTCCTTGGCTGGAGGGATTCTGGAAAATATGGCATATTGGTTCTTCTGGGACAGGCATTTCAGTGGTTAGGAATTCCAGGTACCAATTGATATTAATCACTGCACAGTTCTCTAAGTCAGGAAACAAATGGGATTCTGACTTAAGGCTGTCGTTGTTGTTCAGCCGCCAAGTTGTGTCTGACTCTTTGTGACCCTGTGGACTGCAGCACGCCAGGCTACTCTGTCCTTTACTATTTCCCAGAGTTTGCTCACATTCATGCCCATTGAGTCGGTGATGCTGTCTAACCGCTCATTCTCTGCTGCCTATTTCTCCTTTTGCCTTCAGTCTCTTTCAGCATCAGGATCTTTTCCAGTGAATCGGCTCTTTGCATCAGGTGGTCAAAACATTGTAGCTCCAGTTTCAGCATCAGTCCTTCCAATGAATATTTAGGACTTAGGTTTCCCCCCGCTTACCACAGATGTGAGAATGATTCATTAGTCAAGTTTGGGATCAGAGAGACTTCCTATCAACTCTCCACTTCCTCAGCATGAATGAAAACTTTGACTTGAAATATGAAGGTGCTTCATGTAAAAGGTTCTAAATTATTTCGATTGCTATTAAAATGGAGACCTTTTGCCTGAATTGTTCCTAAAATTAAAAAAATAATGGCCCTTGGAAAATCTTTCTTCACTTGTTTCTTCTGACCCCATGTATCATTAACACAAGCTTAAAAATGAACTTTTGAAGATTAATAAGCAATAAAGAAATGCATTTTCTTCTGAGAAATAAAAATTTATTATTTTACCATGCAAAGCCCCAGGATAAAGGTAATATTATCCTAGAAAAATATCTCATCTTGAAATAGTAGAGAAGT